AGCTTACCATTGCCTAGCGGATGAGCCACCCGGAGGGCGGCGATTCTGCTAGTACTTATAATATAATGTAAAAAATAAATAAATAAATAAAATAAATATATAAATAAATATCGAAGTGGTAACCGTGGTAACATTCTGATACGTTCTTGCTACCACCATGCTATGCGTACGGTCCCAGTATATATATATATATATATATATATATATATATATATATATATATATATATATATATATATATATATATATATATATATATAACCCACCCGGGCACAGGTCGAACGACCCACAACGGGGCCTGGAGGGCAAAAAAAATAAGAATAGAAAGAAATTGAAAATAGAAAAGGAAAAGGTAATACTGTGTTAATCTACACCACGATGATGCCGGAAAACCAGCTTTTTAAATTGAGACAGATTGAGCAAGTATGGAAACACGGAAGAAGGCAGAGCATTCCACAGTTTGGGTGTGTGAGGAAAGAAGGATGCACTATAACGGGTTATTCCAGTGTGACCGACATCCACAGAGAAACGGTGGGCACCGCGGACAAGACGTGTGTTACGAGCCCACGGGCTTGCTAGCAGTACACAGGATGCCAAATCCACCGAACATTGCCCGTTAAAGTACCTGTAAGAGAGAAAGAGTGAAGCAACATTGCGGCGAAGAGGAAGGGAAGAGAGATTGTCGACTAAAGGAGGAGAGTTGATAAGACGAAATGCCTTTGATATCAACCTATCAAACAGTTGGACAGAAGAAAAGCCACCCCAGAAATGAGAGCAGTACTTCAAGTTAGGACAAATGAATCTCTTATACACTTGAAGCAACTGCTCAGGAGTGAAGTAGCTACGGCATCTGTACAGCATTCCCAATTTTCGGGAGGCAGCTTTAGCTATGTTAAGGATGTGTAATTTCCAGGTCATATTGGGGGAAATGGTGAGGCCTAGCACATTTATTTCAGAATTTGGCAGAATGATAGCGTCCTGAAATGTAATTGGTGGGAGATCATCTAATTTAGAAAGTGTAATTGGTAAATACCGAGTTTTATTACTATTGAATTTAACCAAATTTGTACCGCATCATTTAGAGATGCTGCACAGATCCGCTTTGATAGAAGTAATGATATCAACTCTAGAAACAGATCTAGTTTGAGAGTTAGGAGGAAAGGGAAAATGTGAAGAAGAGTGAAGAGTAGAAACATCAGCGTAAGAATGGATAGAATTAGTTGCAGTGTGAAGTAAATCATTGATAAACAGAAGGAAGAGAGTAGGTGAAAGAAAAGAACCCTGTGGGACACCACTATTGGTAGAGAAAGAGCGAGAAATCGATCCCTCGACAACAACTGCCATGGATTGGTTCTCAAAAAAGCTAGCTATTAGAAGATAAAGTGGGGGGAAAGAAACCATAAGAGGGAAGTTTAGAAAGCAAAGACTTGTGCCATACCCTGTTAAATGCTTTGGAGATGTCGAGGACCACGACTAAAGTTTCCCCATAATCCCAAAGAGAGGATGACCAAAGATGGGTGCAATAGAAGAGCAGATCACCAGTAGATCTCGCCTAGCGAAAGCCATACTGGTGATCCGACAAAAGAGAATGGCGTTACATAGTATTTCCTTGAGATAAATGTACAGTATATATCAGGAGCTTAAAAGAGAGCTCAGGTTCTCACTGGCTCATCATGTTAATATTATTATTTTTTCCGACTCTGTATCTATGCTCTTCTGGCTAAATAAACTGTTTCAATATCAATATCAATGTCAATGTAAATAATAATCACGTTCTCGTGACACCTGATAGTGGAGTCTGAAGATGTTTGGACTAGACCATCTGTACAAAGTTGAGGCACAATATCACTTCCTTCCATACTAGTGTACACTTCCCTTCGATATCATAATAGCGACATATCCGCCTAAACGATTAATTATACGAAGTATCTATCTCCAACACACTGCCATAGTGAGAGCTCTTCAACACACAAACATTCTACAGACTGATGATAACATCATAAAGACCATCAACACTGATTGATCTCTTAAAATTACTTGTGGGAGGGTTGGAAGCGCTATCGTTGTGACTCAACATAACGGTAAGGAGAGAAATGCAAACAGGAATTAGTTAATCCATTGTTTACCACGAAGAGATGTATAAAGTGAAACATGTATATGGAACAAGAAACAAGATCGCTAGATTACAAGATGTTGTAACCGCTAGACTAAGGTTAGAATATAAGTACATCTGGCAGTTTATCCCTCAAGCAGATGTGAACACAACTAAATACAAAGTGTGTGGTCAAACACATAGCCACAGACACAAACACTACGTCATTGACACTGTGAAAAAGAAAATTTTAGGGACAGGTCCAAGCACAGTGTGTGTGAAATGGCACAACACGTATCTCAAATGGCAATATAGCCGACATATTAAGATCGTATCCACTTTTTTGCACTTAATTCCTTTATCATTTTCCATGTATAGAACCAAACACACAATGTGCCTAAATACCTCTCACGCAAATATGAATAACAAAGTGTGTGGCCAGACATATTGCCTCACACTGTTGCACTCATTGCAGGTGCGAATAAGTCACCTTTTTTGTACAAAACTAAACAAAGAATGTAATGTAAATACTCTGTAACATTCAATGTCATAATATCCTACCACTGGGGAACGTTATGCACACCCTTTGTAACCTTCTCTCTGTAATCCATTTGCGCTACCGCTCATAGGATGAGTATGGGGTGCACATCAAACTACCCACTGCAAGTGGCAAAAAAAAATATATATATATATATTAATTATGTGGACTATGAAAGAGAAACTCTCCTTTGTAAGCGAGAAACTTCTTCAAACCGCCTGTGCTTCTTAAATAAGTTTTCTTTAGACCTGGAGGGTCATTATCACAAAGTTCTTGTCACGTTTGGATTTTAAGTCTTTACGTTAGGTGTATTAAATTTTATGCTTATGATGCCTTGCACTGATTCCATGAATATTGCTCCACTGAGTGTTTAGCATGATTTTGTTTTATAGTTTTCCTGGTGAAAAAATATATATATTTTAATTTTCAATTGCCGATTTAATATATACAATATACACTGTTTATGGATCCCTCCTCATTTGAGGACCTAAAACAACACCCTTATTTTAAAGCCCTGCCCACTTTGAACAAGTAATATTGTTGGTAATTTTTTCGATTAAAATACCCGAAAAATATAAATATTCGCAATTTATGGGAATTGCCTACCCGGCCACACTTCATCGACGCAAAACAGGTACTGGGGGCGAAAACATAAGAAAACAAAATTAGAGAAAATGAGCATGTCAATCTACACCACGAAAATGCCGGAAAACCGACTTGAGTCGGCGGAGGAGGTGGAGACGGAAACTGGAGGATTTGACAACTTCACTGACGTGTGGTTTCCAATTTAGTTTGTTGTCTATGGTGACGCCGAGGAGCTTCGTGGAATCTACAACCTGGAGTGTGTTCGGACCTAGAGTAATGGAAGGAGGTGGGACAACGTCGGAGGAGAGGTTGATGTGCATAACCATGGTCTTGGTATGGTTGATGGTGACATGGTTGTTGGTGGCCCAGTTTTGGAGACTGTTCAATAAATCCTGAAGGGCGGTATAGTTGGGAGCAGAATTGTTGACGCTGATCCCAATGGTGGAGTCGTCGACATATTTCCAGCGAGAAGGGGTTTCTCTTAGGGCATCATTGATGAGCATAAGGAAGCAGAGTGGTCCCATCTTGGTGCCTTGGGGGACGCCACAGGTGAGTGACTGAAAGGTGGAGACAGCCCCTCAAGCGTACAGCTTGGCGTCGGTCACTGAGGAAGTCTGTAAGCCATGGTATAAGACTTCTCCGAAGCCCGAGGTCAATAGCTTTGTTGATGATTATATTGTGGTCGACTAGGTCGAACGCTTTAGTGAAATCAATGAAGGCGACAGCTACAGACGTTTTTCGTTTCTCGAGATGGCGGTATATGTAATCGAGAAAGCTGACAAGACAGTGAAGGTGGAGGAAGTTTTCATGTTGCCAAATTGCTGAGGGTCTACGACTCCTGCAATATCAGCATAAGCCCAGTCGAACACAAAACTTTCACAGATTAGGCTGGGTATTGGGGTGATTGCAATAGGTTGTAGCTGATTTAAGGATTGTGGGCTGGTTGACTTGGGCACTGGTGATACATAAGAGGTCTTCCAGTCAGCTGGGCATCTGGCTTGACTGAGAGAAGCATTGATGATGGAGCATAGGGGTTTAGCAAGCTCCGGGGAGAACTCCTTGAAGAGTTTCATTGGTAAGTCAATGGGGGTGGTAGAGCGTTTTAATTTTAGTTTGTCCAGGCGTTTTGCTACTTCAAATTCTTCTAATAAGTCAGTGGGAAGGGGGGCTGGTAGGTAAGCAGGGAGAGTGGTTGTGTCAAGCCGGGGGAGCGTCTGGCATATAGTAGCGAAATGGTTATTTGTTTGCTCAGCTGCGTCAACATTAGTGAGATGGCTAAGGAAGGGGAGGGTATGTGTCTTATTGTTTAGTCCACAGAGTTCTTTAAGCTTACCATACCATTGACTGATGTTGGTCTGCTTCAGGTGTTGTAATTTGGTTGGGTAGTGGGACTTCTTTGCAGTGCGTATTTCGCGGATGACTCGGTGTGTGTGTGTGTGTGTGTGTGTGTGTGCTCACGCTTTGTACACTTCTCTAGACTGGTCGAATTTATAAAGCCTTGTGTTGATACTGATATTGTAGGCTAAAGTCATAATTATACATGCGTTAGAATCTGGTTGTTTGCTTTCCCGTATAGTGGCAGATAGATAGACCTTTGAATAGGGCAGTCGATAAAAAAGAAGAATTGTTCTGGGCTTATTTGGCCAATGAAAGAAAAAGGAGATGCAAACAAATGCCTTTGGGAGGGGGAAGTGGTGTGGGGGTGAAGACATTCGTCAATCACCGGATCCTTGAAAATACAATCAATACACAACACTGCCCCAAAAGCTGCAGTGTGTGACAGACCTTGAGGTTGACGTCCATTACGTCTGAGAAAGTAGTTTCATCAACTTCACAGAATGGGTTTGTCCTCAGAATACCGGCGTTGTTGACCAGGAGGTTGGGTGGTATCTGGTACTTGTCTATGATGGCTTTAATGCCAGAGTTAACAGAATTCTTATCTGATACGTCCATGGCCAGAGCAAGGTGGTCTCCAGATCCTGCAGGTGAGGTGATAACAAGCATTGGCTTATGAGAGCATAAATTAGTTTAACATAGAACATTGATCATACGATTGAAGTAATGTATAGTATAAAGAAGTGTCACAACACTATCATTGAGACAATGTGAAGTAGCTTTTTGTTCTGTGTTGTCCTCAGTGTAAGAGTTATTTGTCTTGTAATCCTTATATATTATGGTTGTTATTGATACAGATTAGTGATATTGATATTATGATACTTCTATTGTGATGCATTACCGGAAGATAAAATGTGTTATAGAACATTTTGAAGTTAATTAAAGGGAGATGCATAGGCTAACTGAGAGTTACTGTAAACGATATTTACTTGATATATTTAGATGGTGAAAATCAGAAGCTGGGCAGTGTCAGACATAATTATATACCCATGACTTCAGTAATATAGTAATTTAGTTTAATATATCAGGAAACACTACTTAGGATGTTTTGACTCTTTTAGTGCCAGAGTGTAGAGGGGCACCTATACGATGTTGTGGCTCTTGTAGAGTGAGAGTGTAGAGGGGCACATATACGATGTTGTGGCTCTTGTAGAGTGAGAGTGCGGAGGGGCACATATACGATGTTGTGGCTCTTGTAGAGTGAGAGTGAAGAGGGGCACCTATACGATGTTGTGGCTCTTGTAGAGTGAGAGTGCGGAGGGGCACATATACGATGTTGTGGCTCTTGTAGAGTGAGAATGTAAAGGGGCACATATACGATGTTGTGGCTCTTGTAGAGTGAGAGTGCGGAGGGGCACATATACGATGTTGTGGCTTTTATAGAGTGAGGGTGTAGAGGGGCACATATACAGTACGATGTTGTGGCTCTTGTAGAGTGAGAGTGCGGAGGGGCACATATACGATGTTGTGGCTCTTATAGAGTGAGAGTGTACTGTAGAGGGGCAATTATATCTTGCGCTAGTCAGGCCGCACCTCGATTATGCGGTTCAGTTCTGGTGCCCTTATTATAGAATGGATATCAATTCACTAGAGTCGGTGCAGCGTAGAATGACGAAATGATTCCGGGATTTAGAAACTTTCCATATCAGGATAGGTTAAAGAAACTAAACTTGCATTCCCTAGAAAGACGAAGAGTGCGGGGAGATATGATAGAAGTATTTAAGTGGGTGAAAGGAATCAATAAAGGGGATATAGATAAAGTTCTTATAATATCCGAGCAGGATAGGACTCGAAGCAACGGATTTAAGTTGGATAAGTTTAGGTTTAGGAGGGAGATAGGAAGGAACTGGCTCACAAATAGGGTGGTGGACGAGTCGAACAAGCTTAGCAACTATGTAGTAGGTGCTGGAAAGCTGGAAAGTTTCAAAAGGAGACTGGATAGATTCATGGATGATAGAGAATGGGAGTAACTCTCGACAGGAGCTGCCATGCACAGGCCAACCGGCCTATTGCAGACTCTTTATTTTCTTATGTTCTTATGTTCATATACGATGTTGTGGCTCTTATAGAGTGAGAGTGTACTCTAGAGGGGCACATATACGATGTTGTGGCTCTTGTAGAGTGAGAGTGTAGAAGGGCACATATACGATGTTGTGGCTTTTATAGAGTGAGAGTGTAGAGGGGCACATATACAGTACGATGTTGTGGCTCTTGTAGAGTGAGAGTGCGGAGGGGCACATATACGATGTTGTGGCTCTTATAGAGTGAGAGTGTACTCTAGAGGGGCACATATACGATGTTGTGGCTCTTGTAAAGTGAGAGTGTAGAGGGGCACATTTAGGATGTTGTGGCTCTTGTAGAGTGAGAGTGTAGAGGGGCACCTGTACGATGTTGTGACTCTTTTAGTCTCAGTATCACTTACTCGTGAGCTTATAGAGGGTGGGATGGACTTACTGGAAGTATACTGAGGATGGGTTTGACTTACCGGGGAGCATATTGACCGTATCTTGGGCGCTGTTGAATTTTATGTCGGCCACGACCACACTGGCACCATTCTTGGCCAGCACCTGGCAGATGGCTCGACCAATGCCACCTCCACCACCTGTAACACCACCAGCTCATCATCCTCTCATAATAGTACAATTACAGTAAGTAAGTTCATCAACGTGTCTCTTCCACTTACAAGGCGGCCGCTGCAAATTGATTACGTCACCGTGCTACCAATCTTGAGGTACAGTCCAGTGCATTTCCACGTTAGACACACGCCTACAAATGTGAACCCCGTGAATGTGATATTAGGAAATTCGAAGCAACAGGCAGAGATTCATTTATCTGGTAACAATGTGTGTGTGACGGCGCGAGGGATAGGTGTGGAAGGAGGAGAGTTAATGAGTGAAAGTGCGAGTGTCACTGAGTTTTGTGGTGCATGCAATTGCCGTAGATAGTTTGAGGATGTGATAGATAAATGGAGATGGAAGGGGGTGAATAAGATTTTAAAATATGGGTATGCACTTGTAATAAAGATATATATGTTTAATATGAATGGACAATATTTAAATAACCACAAGTTTACAGATGACTTTTTCTTATTAAGTGAATCGTGAGCAGAAGAAGGCAAATAACAGAATAGTTACTCAGAAATAGTTTGCAAGTGAAACAGTCCTTCTTATTTATTGTAAAACAAGGGTGGCATAACGGGAAATGTCCTTAGCTACCAAACAGGGAGGTACCACTGCCTGGGAAGATATTGGAAGCAAAATGTATTGTCTAATGGTAGATCCTGCTGCCATATGGCATCACGAAAATTGTGACCAAGTTCCAGGTTGCTGATCTGACTTTCTGCCTCATTTACACACAATTCCAGGGTCTCAATTGTTTCTCTTACCATTGACATTAACATGCATATATTGTTTCTCACTCTTAATTCTTTATGGTTTATTATTATTATTATTACTATTATTATTATTATTATTATTATTATTATTATTATTATTATTATTATTATTATTATTATTATTATTGTTACATTTTCGCCCTCCAGGCCCCGATGTGGGTCAGTGACCTGTGCCCGGTTGGGCTAATCCCAGAAAAGAAATCCATACAAAAGAATATGTAGCTAATTTTACAACTTAGATGATAAACAATACTATGCATAATGTTCTACCCTAATGAATATAGATGTCAGGTGAACAATTTAACTGACCACCATGAGACTCATATCATAAGGTCACTTGACATCAATCTGCACATCACGTTATCTGGTAACGATAACTCTTCACCGTCGCTGTATTTTTTCACTTATTTTTTAATGGGAAATAGCCCACCCGGACACAGGTCATCGAACAAACAACGGCTCCTGGGGACAAAAAAATAGGAGTAAAAAAAAAAGATGAGAAAAAGTGTATGTGAATCTCCACCACGACGATGCCGGAAAACCCTCTTTTTGGAGTGAGACAGATTGTAATAGGATGGAAGACAGAAGGCAGAGCATTACACAGTTTGGTTGTGTGAGGAAAGGATGTAGGCTACTATAAGGGTTATTCTAGTGTGACCGACATCCATAGAAGAGCGGTGCGCACCGCGGGCAAGACGAATGTTACGAGCCCACTGCCTTGCCGTCGGTACACAGAAAGAAAAATTCGCCGAACATCGACCGTTAGAGTACCTGTAAAAGAGAGTGAAGCACCACTGTGACGAAGACAAAGGGAAGAACAATTAATGACTAAAGGAGAAGAGTTAATATGCCGAAATACCTTTGATTCCACCCTATCTAACAGTTTGACAGAAGAAGAACCACCTTAGATATCAGAGCAGTGCTTCAAATTAGGACGAATGAATCCCTTATAAACCTGAAACAACTGCTCAAGAGTGAAGTAGCTACGGCATATGTACAACAATCCCAGCTTTCGGGAGGCAGCTTTCGCTATGTTGTGGATGTGAGACTTCCATGACATATTAGAGAAAACGATGAGATTTTGGCAAAATGGTTACGTCCTGAAATGTGATTGGTGGGAGATCTTCTATTTTGGAAAGTGTAATTGGAAAGTACTGTTTTCTTACTATTGAATTTGACCTAATTTCTACCTCCCCATTAGGAGATGCTGTACAGATCTGCATTGATAGAAGAAACAAAATCAGCTCTAGAAATAGATCTAGTTTGAGAGTTAGGGGAAAGGTAAAATGAAAAGAAGATTGAGGAGTAGAATCATCAGCGTAGGAATAGATAAAATTAGTAGTAGTGTGAAGTAAATTATTGATAAAAAGAAGGAAGAGAGTATGGAGAAGAACAGAACCTTATGGGACACCACTATTGGTAGAGAAAGAGCGAGAGATGGCTCCCTCGACAACATCTACCATGGATTAGTTCTCAAGGAAGCAAGAAATGAGAGAACGGAGTGAAAAGATATACCATAAAAAGGAAGTTTAGAAAGCAAAGACTTGTGCCATACCCTGCCAAATGCTTTGAAGAGGTCGAGGGACACGACAAAGGTTTCTCCATAATCCCTAAGAGAGGATGACCAGATGGGTGCAGTAGGCGAGCGGTTAACCAGTACAGTAGATCTCGCCTGGCGAAAACCATACTGGTGATCCGACAAAACAGAAAGGCGTTCAAAGTGACGAAGAAAATGACAGTTTAAGATAGTTTCGAAAATCTCAGAGAGGGATGAAGTTAGGGCAATGGGGTGATAGTTTGAGGGATTAAAATGGTCACCCTTCTTCAGGATGGGCTGAACCAAGGCATGCTTCCAAGAAGAAGGAAAAGTTTGAGTTTTGAGGCAAAGGCGAACGAGGTGAGAAAGCACAGCACAGGGGACAGAACTTCAGCACACTCCCTCGGAACACGAGGAAGTATTCCGTCTGGCCCATGCGTTTTACTCATATCTAGATTGGATAACAGAACAGCAACCCTACGATTGAAGTTTATAGGAAAGTGCATTGGTTAAGTAGGAGGAAGAGGAGTTGGACTGGTAGAGTTGGAATCGTCTAAGGTGGAGTTAAAGGAAATTTATGAGCCAAAGTGATTGACTTTATCAGAGGGAGTGGTGGCTATACATTTTGCTCTCACTAAATGACTGATCTAAATTAGATCAGTCTAATGGAGCAGTCTACGTAAATTATGTACACTTAGCCTCGCCCTGGGTCATGCTTTCCTCCAGCGATCACTAACTAACACACATGATGAATGCAATATTCCAATATGAACGTCAGCCAAACATTTAACTTTTGCAGAAATAGAGTGTTTGTCATTAACATATACAAGCAATTAATGAGGATTAAAAACTTTAAAATTTCAGTGCATACATAGTACTTATTGGACTGGCGACCTGTGGTGTAATGTTCAGTATGCTCGCCTCGCAAAGCGAGTGGACCCGGGTTCGATCCCCGGGTTGGGTGAAACTATGGGCAAGTTTCTTTACGCCACTTGCCTCTGTCTACCCAGCAGTAAGTGGGGACCTGGATGTTAATCGATCTGCGGATCGTATTCCCGGGTAATGGTTAGTCAGTGCAGTTGGCGAGTTGCCTGGTCTTCTCGGACTATTCCTTGACATTGGGTCATGCAGCTCGTTGACTCAGGGTGTGGTTGTTGTGTTGGCGACAGCTTCTGCACCTTAAACAAATTCACGCCTAGGTGGCCCTTGGGCAGGTCACCCTCGTTACACGAGGGGGAAAGCCTTATATATATTGTGTGATATTCAAATTCATTCCATTTACCAAGTATCGAGAACTGTTCTTGTATTAAGAGCAATAACCTGTACCGTATGTTCATTCCCTTGAAAAAGATTTTGTGTTTCCTTCACTACCGTAATACCATACTCCCATCTGTCCACTATGAACAATGTTCACTACCTCTCAGAGCTAGTTGGGTTTCATGCCGATTTATCTGGACGACTAAGAGCTTCTGTTGAGCTATATCACCTTTGGGGTCCTGTAATTACCTTGGATGCATTGTTATTGGTTATTAATTTTACATTGATACTTCACCAATTGCACAAAAAATAATTTTGTTAAACTTTTTTTCCTTTCTCCATTTGTGAAACGATCTCTCCTTTTCAATCTCAAATAAATGGCATTTTACGTTTATATTCGAATACAAATTCACCATTGTCATGGTTTTGGGTGGTTCGGTGGTGGTATGAGTGGATTATATTATATAAAGATAATAATATGTCGTATTCTTATTTCTTACCGTAGAATTCGATACCTTCACACTGATTACTCACAGGAGATTATGGCGTATCTACGTAGAAGTTCACTCCACCACTCGACATTCCATGATTTATATTTGATAAATGATGATTTAATGAATTCCATTAATTTCCAACATCCATCTAAATTATTGGTTATACTTTGTCATAACCAATCAGTCATTACTGTCATGGGTTGTGTAATGAGTGATTGTCAGACCAAAGCTTACAGCCCAGAATTATGTCACATATAACAGCGAGTACACCACAGACCTCGTGGTACCACCGCATTCCGGGCTGACACACCTCAGGTCGACCCAAGGGACTTGACCTCGCCCGCTAATGACGTGAGGCGGTGACCTACAACCGCACCTAGCCAAGACACCTGGCCAGGACCACACCTGCACACAATTATCCAGATCAAACCAGTTTAGTGTTAATTGTTAGAGGTCAGAAGCCGGCTGGGCCGACCCCATATAAAGGCCCTACAGTCCCGTCCACGGGCATTCGGGATTCCATTACCATTCTGATTATCATTCTGATCCTGGTTGTCATTTGAACATTCTGAGGAGACGCTCATTACTCTGGAGATTCTCAGAGTCAAGCTCACCCTCTCCCCAGGTCGGGAAGGGGACTTCCCGACCAGACCCCAGCTAAGCAGAAGCCTCTCATAGGAGGCAGCCCAGCCAAGCATTCACTGGGCCTACGTCAGGGTACACGTGAGTCTTGTCAGAACGTCCTAGGGTGAGTTACCTACTGTGGGAAGTGTATTCATTCAGGTGTGTCCGAGAGTCAGTGTCAAGTAACGTAAAGCATAATGTGTTAGTACCCCGATATAATAGTGATATTAATGTGTCCATGTCATTGAGTGAAGTAATAAATAGTTGTATCAAGAGGTGTTTAACAAGTTGTCCCT